GTTTGTCGGTGAGGACGATGATGGTATGAGCTTGGAAATACGGGCGGAGTTTGCGGGCCGCAATGACCAACGCATAGGCTAGCTTTTCTATCTCTGGATATCTTGTTTCTGCTCCCTGCAATATTTTACTAACATAGTAGATGGGTCGTTGGACCCGATCTGCTTCCTTCATCAGTACCGAACTGACCACTTCGTTGCTTGCCGAGAGGTACAGTTCTAAAACATCGCCCTCTTCGGGTCGGGTCAACACCGGGATGCTGGCGAGGTATTTCTTGAGCTCGTCAAATGCGAGCTGGCAGTTCGGTTTCCACTCGAACCCTTTGCCTTTTATTGCCTTGAAGAAGGGCAGGCAACGGTCTACTGACTTAGACATGAAACGGCTTACAGCAGCTATTCTGTCATTTAGCCTCTGAACCTCTTTTACTTTTTGGGGTGGTCTCATATCTAGGATGGCCTTTATTTTGTCCGGGTTGGCCTCAATGCCGTGCCGGTTGATGATGTATCCTAGGAACTTACCCGAGGTGACACCAAAGACACATTTGTTTGGGTTTAGTTTCATGCTAAATTGACGTAGGATTTGAAAGACAGAGTGCAAATTTTGTATTAATTCATGCGAAAATTGTGTCTTGACGACCATGTCGTCTACATAACATTCTATCTTTGTGCCAATTAAGGGTTGAAACAGCTTGTTCACAAGCCTTTGAAAGGTTGCCCCAACATTCTTCAGTCCGAAGGGCATAACCTTGTAGCAGTATAGGCCGAACTCGGTTATGAAGGCGGTTTTTTCCTCGTCGGATGGGTCCATCCTGATTTGGTTGTAGCCCGAGTAGGCATCCAGGAAGCTTAGCAACTCGTGTCCCAAGGTCGCGTCCACTAGGCGGTCAATCCTGGGGAGGGGGAAGCAATCTTTCGGGCAAGCTCAGTCCAGGTCGGTGTAGTCGACGCACATGCACCACTTGCCATTTGCCTTTTTTACCAGAACTGGGTTGGCCGCCCAACTCGGGTAATGAACTTCCCTTATGAAGTCTGCTGCGAGGAACTTCTCGACCACCCTCCAGCGCTCTGGGGCTAGGTTGCATTTCTTCCGTCTAATGGGCCTAACTACAGGGTCAGTATTTAGCTTGTGAGTTATAAGGTTGGGGTTTATACCGGGCATCTCTGCCGCAGACCATGCAAAAACATCTAAATTTTGAAGTAAGAAACTTACCAGTTCAGATCGTAGGGGTTCCTGGACGGAAGCACCGATCTGAAGCGTCCGAGCTGGGTCTGCGGCTGAGGTCGGAACAGCGACTGTTTCTTCCATGGGCGCAGCTCGTTCTTCGCCTTGCTCTGTAGGCCGCTCCAGTTCGGAGTCGCCGACTACCTTGGTCTTTGCCTTTAGGGCGGCAACATAGCACTTGCGGGACTCGAGCTGGTCACCCCGCGCTACCCCCACACCGAAGTCTGTAGGGAACTTCATTGCCAAATGATAAGTGGAGACCACCGCCCG